TTTTTTCGGTAAAGTCACATAGGTATAAAATAAATCACGACGTTTCGTGATTGCATCAGCAGCAGGCCATGCTTTCCCACCTGATGACGGACGCTTGTGTTGCGCCCAAAACGTCGTGATTTATTTTATTTTATACCTACGTGACTTTACCGAAAGAATAATACTCTCCTTGCTCAATGGAAGAAATTTATTAACCCTGACTCTATTACACCTTCAATCGTGCTGTTTGTTGCTGGCAACTTGCCATTTTTGGGCCTTTGGGTCATGTGCGCAGAGTCTATGATAACACAAAATTACGTTTCACAACCATCTAGAATTTTTACCATGACGTGACTTATGGATCTTAACATTTGTAGTTGGGGATTCTGTAATGGCAAACAAAATGCCTCACTGCGAGGCTACATGCGGACGTCAAAATCAAAATTAAGGTTTGTGGTATATGCATAAAGCATAAATTAAGCGATGCCTTTGATGACCAGAATTTAATGTCTATGGACTTAAAGAGTGACGTGATTGAAGGCCAATGGAAATTGCACGCAACAGCGCCGACAAAGCCTGCAATCTATACATTGTGTAGTAATTTCTCTGACTTGCACACTAATGAAAAGACCCATGCACTGAAGATAAGGGTGGTGCCATGGGGCTGGGATAAGCATGCAATTTGAAAATGTACACCTCCCTCTCATACTGAGGGAAGAGAAACGACAATATATCCTGACTTTGTAATTTTAATGCGCATTAAAGCAGGTATTTTTTACATTCAGTGCACAATATAATACTGCTACAAGTGAATGCATTTTTATTTTACGAAATTAAACACAACATGAAAATCAATTTTAATGAATAATTAGTTTATTTTACAGATGGTTACAATCCGAGCGAAGAAATGTCCAAACAGTATTTTTGTGAAATACCGTAACTATGCAGCATGCGCTCTGTGTGTTTCTTGTTTCGTATGATTTTGTCTTAAAATCAATGGCCATCTATTGATCGAATAGCAACTTAAAACAAGTCAGGTATATTTTGGAAAGCGTCTGCAAAACTTATATTCCTTTATCACTAAATAATTTACTTAAATACTATTGCGAGTGCTAATTTTGATATTGGGTATACATTGTCTGTACAATTACTTCATCGTTGTTTCAATTATGTTTAGCACATTCGTGGGTGAAAATAAGACCGGATAAAAAAAAAACTAAATTATTTAAAAGTCAACTCAAACATAAATCAATTAATATTATGTGTTTTGGTCACCAACAGCATTACAACGTTAAACGTCTTACAATAGCATTACATTTTAAACATCAAGAGATTTTTAAGTGTAGAAAACGTCCCCTTTAGTATCCATGTTCAACACAACAAAGTAGCATCAAGAAGTTACCGTAACACAGTAATATTCAAAGTCAGAGGTCACATCACGGATGAATGAAATATTTATAACACCGCAAGTGAGCCTGGGTTCTCCATAAGCAAGGTCTAAATACAATGTTCCACTGAGCATGCAGCCGCTAGATATTATGAGCACAGATGCAGTAAAACGAAAATGATGAATGCAGTATCCAAAAATGAATTATACATCGTGACTGCACAGCCATCAAACACATTACAAGACTATCAGCGTGTAGAAAACACGCTAACAAGACATTGTGAGATTAATTTATTCCCACTGTCCCAACAGGTATAAATAAGAACATTGCGCAATATATATTGCGCAAACAAATTTAATGTAATTTCATCCCGTCACCGATAGGAACCCTGTAGTCTGTAGGCAATGCATAATTAATGCACATTTTATTACTTTTCTTCATAGTCGTATGCGGAATGGATGGATCGCATTAGTGGTCCGTGACCTTGGGATTAAAGGTATAAAATAAAGAACACCATAAACATGTATTGTAAATTAACACAAAATTTACACACTTAGCATGCGGCATGATTACACATGAAACAACAGCATGAGCGCAGATCATATTTATCAAAAGCACAATACGAGTAAAATGATATATACCATATATATATCTTTTTTCATACACAATAATACTGCACAGAAATCAGACGATATTATACCAAGTAAAAAAATCTGTAAATTTGAGTTTCATGTAATGTTATAATAGGTTAGAGAAACTCGGTCATATTTACAAATAATAATTAAAAAATCCATTGAAAAATAACTCATGTTTATTTTAATTTGAGAGTATCCAATTCCATCTTTAAACATCCCATCACCATCACCAATTTCACCATCCATCTTCAGCATGGTCACCGCCTATGCCGTCAACTTTACGGCCAATGTCATCATTATAATTATCATGCTGCAAGTGCGCACTTTGGAAATAAATTGTTAAAAGACGACTGCATCAATAAAAGACGAACTGCTTTAGGATACTACAGTGCCACACGTCACGTTGAAATCAAAAGGGACTCATGCTCTAATGACTTTGTACTTGATGTTGCATGTGGTTGCAAAACAAACATCTTATTTTATATTTACTCACTGCCAATAAATTAGAAACATTATTTAGATGAAATAACCAGAACAGATTTTGCACCTGGTTAAGACTCACGCATACAAGAGGAAGAAGCACGGCTTTTAAACACACAGAATGTTGTTAGGCTTGGTACACAAGAGAGTTTCAGCTAAGCTCAGATTAAAAGATCGCATCTAATTTATGTCCATAATGACTCATCACACAATTATCCCAGGGGGCCGGTGTAGCCAAGCAAATATAGCATAGATGTAGACATGAATATAATAACAGCAATTATAAACTCACTCACTGCATCCCGAAAAAATACAAGAGCAAACCAATCCATAAAGTGGGTCTTTGTAGTTTATATATTTTCTTTAAATCGCAGCACGCATCTCAAATGGAAAATTAGTACTGAGTTTCAAAACATTCACTGAGCACAGTGCTTATCAATACACTTTAGCTGTTATATTATGATAGTGCTCCACGTTGGAAGTTTTCAGAAAATGTTTTTGTTACGAGATTATTGACCGTACATTTTTTTTATTTGCAGCAGCATCCGAAGCAACCAGCATGTCGAATATCTGTGAATCTCAAAATATGCCATAATTCCTTAATCCCATGATCATAAATATATCAAAACTGCTTCAAGTTGTCACATTTATTGTTGTTTGTGAGACATATCGGTCTGGACTATCTTGGTTATTTCTGTCTTGACTTGAGGCATTACAGGCTGAGACAGACAGAGACGTATCTCATCGGGAGCCTGTTCACAAGTCCAAAAGTAAGCCGTGAAATTACATTACATAATGTACAGCTCTTTGTCAATCCACTGATGGATGAAGGTCTCCCAACGCCATGTCAGTCATTGGGGTTGTTTGAACATACTTCACCACGTAGGCATATGTGCGGATTGGGTAAGGGGTGGGAGGGGTCACATGACCGGGTCAGATTTGCCACTGCCGACAGCCCTTGCCGCAAATCGAACTCCGCTGGACAGGTTAGTCTGCTATCCCCCGTCACACCACTGCCCTCTGTTTCCCTATCATCGTCATGGGCCATGATCAATGCACTGCTGAAGGGCTCCCCAAGGCTCCACCAGCTCTCACGATCCTGCGATACATCGATCCATCCACGACCTGCACTTCATAGCTCACTAGATTATTCTACATTACCATAAAACGCAGTGCTTTGAATAATAATTGAAATTTAAGAGAATTTCCTTTAAAAAAACACAAACACACTCAAACATATAATTTTGAAGATTTCAATCGCTTTTGTTGGCTTTTACCTGATACTGTCGAAGTGTCTATCTTAAAATACTGTACTTTATCCATACGTTCAAAGTAGTATTAGCCTGCAGGCCCCTTTTAGTTTAGTTTTAAATTCAGAGGTTACACAATCCATTCAAAACCAATGGAAATTCACGATAATAATTACCGCTATAAAACCATTGGCCATCTAAACCATGAACGATATCCCCAGAGGACAGTACACCCTTAATCGCAACTCCACTGTCGCGGGCCAGGCTTATCCATGTAAGCCCGTGGCCATATCATCAGCAGCTATACACCGGTGGGATCAAAAGCCTCCCCGACCCCGCACCGTCCTTTGTGGCCTCTACGATGTTAACAATCCACCGAGCGCCTGAGCTTATTTCATCGCTCCATCTCCACGGCGGATGTTGTCCGTTCCCATCAGTGCACGTTCCCTCCCCCGGCCGCCACTCTCCCGTAAAGGCTCGACACACTCCGACTTTTGACACGTCCACCAAAATGCACCCTCGGCGCTGTCCCGAGTCGAAAATGAACAGGGCATGGGTGAAGAGGTTCCACATCCAGCTTTTCCCTACAGCCGGCCCGTGCATCTTTAATATCTGCTCACAATAAAAAAAAATATATGAAAAGTGATTGCATCAGTGCTTTTATTTTGTTGTTGTTGCCGCAACTGCGGAAATCGATGCACGACCGCCTTTGGCGTCAACACGATTCCTCTTGCCTGTGGATGAAAAGGGCCCGTCGTTTAAACTGCACTTGGGCCAGAAATGCAAAGTTGTGGAGTTTTTTTTTGCCAAGGGAGTGTCAGGTGTGGCTGACACACTCCGCTGAATGATTGATTGTTTTTTTTTCCGCGTGGAATCCGCATTAAATATAAGCGAACGCACACCTGGCAGTGTCATTCCGCAAAACTCGCCCTTGTTAGCTGTCTATGATGACCAATTTTCAAGTCGTGTGTGTGCCCGTGTGTGTGTGGTAGTGCAGCGGTGAGCGCGCTGCGCTGTGAACCCGGAGTCCCGGGTTCGATTCCTGCTAACGGCCAACACCCTGTGACGATTATCTGAACCGGTCCTGGGCCTCCCCTAGGTCGACTCAGCCTCAAATTAGTGCCTGGTGCGGTGTGTAAAAAATCGCAAAGGGGGAGACAAAGGAGGCCGGGCGTGGTGTTGGTCACCCACCGCTTCGTGTGCCGTGCCGGCCTTCATAGGTGCTGTCCAGGCTATATTGGGGGATCTTTGTCTTTTATCTTTTTTTATTGTGTGGGGAGCGGCGGTACAGTGGTTAGCGCACTGATTTACAATTCTGGCGCTCGATTCGAAGCCAGTGCTGGATGGCAAATGAACCTGTCCTGGGGTTCATCGAGGTCAACTTCAGTATCAGAATGACTACCTGGTGCAACCTGTAAACGGTGGTACTTGGGAGACAAAGGAGAGCATGCGTGGTGCCAGGCACGTGCCATTTCTCTCTCAATAGGTTTTCACGAACAATACTTGTTTCCAACAGTGTGTAAAGCTGAACAGAAGAACCTTGTTCTTGATCCTCAAACGTAAACAATTGAGTGTGTTTTCAGCTGCAAATTGTACAAACTGCTGAACACATTAACTCCATTTTCACAGTTGTGATTTAAAATAAACCTAGACAAGGAAAATCGACCAGACTCATTCCTAACCGATGGGACATTTTATTGTTTGTTCAACGTACTCCTCGGATCACGATGCCTTGGGAGCGTTCTGAGACACGTCCGTGTGCGTCCTAAGATTCAGCTTTCGCCACCAATATATCCATGAGAGGTTATTTTTTGGGTTAAATCGCGTAAATATATAAATGTGTCGTTAAAACCCGCCACCACCCGACGCAGCCAACTAGTAAGGGTTGTCACGTAAACAGCACATGGCCAGTTCGTCACTAGTACAGCACACCAGCACCGTACGCACTGTTGGACAGCCACCCGTCGTGCTCAGATTGTAAATGTTGTGGCTTGGCTCTCCAACACACCGGTGTGCTGTACTAGTGACGAGCATGTTCTGTTTACGTGACAACCCTTACTAGTTGGCTGTGTCGGGTGGTGGCGGATTTTAACGACACATGTATACATTTACGCGTTCTAACCACAAAAAAACCTCTATTATGAAACACTGATCAGTTTGTATCAATTCGGATAATTGGGGAGCAGCGGCGGTGGGTGGGGGGGGGGGGGGGACTGCATTGCAAGTCACGTACACCATTGGAATTGGAGCCTACCATAACCCCCTTGTGTTTCGATTATAAAAGGCAATAAAAAGCTTTTCTTTTTTTGTTACGAGATGGTGGAGTGCAACCAAAGACATTAATGATGGATTAGCCATGAGGGCAGCAGCGACCTTCGGCACATCACGCCTCTTTAGTGTCAAGCGCCCGAGTGGACGCAATACCCAAGGTGCAGTCTGCACATTATTAAAACATCAAAAAGGTTAGAGAGTACAAACTTCTTCCAAGATGTGCTTTCGTTGTTGCTCTTGTTGTTGTTTCATCCACCCCTTAACATTCCCCACCGCCGCCGCCGCCGCCGCCGCCGCCACCTCCTCCTCCTCCTCCTCCGCGTGTCAGCCGTCGCTAGGCATTTTCGTGGGTTCATCCTGCTAATTGGACACGTGGAAGAAATCTTTCGAGGGAACCAGGACTTTTGTGCTCTGGCCCACCCCCCGCCCCCCCCCCCCCCCCCCCGAGTAACGTCGCCTGCTTTGTGCATGAAGAGACGGACAGGAGGGCCAAGCCCCGAGAGAGGGCAGACCGAAAAGTCAAGTCGGAGACGCTGCGCCGAACGGCCAAGGTGAACGCGACACGTCCCAGCCCCCGTCGCTCTGCGTTGGGCACGCTGCCGCGTGGCGAGCGATGCACGCGGGCGTCTTTTTTAGAACGGCGCGAGCGATAGAACAGCGGACGCCGAGCGTGAACTCGCGACGGAGTTCGCCCATTTTTGGGCTTGGGGGTTCAGAGGTCACGTTTCAAAAACCATGGAGCCGTGGCGACGGTGAGGATTTAAAACTCTGAACGGCAAGTTGCAGGGCCAATGAAGTGCACAATTCATACGTTCAGTTGGAATAAATACAATCGCCATCAGTTTCAATAAATTCACCAATCACGACACTGCAGACCACGCAGCTGTCCGATTGCGTATTTCAGGTTGTGCCGCGTTTTGAAACGGTGACATGTCTGACGTTTTGCTCAAAGTGCTGTCCGTGCGAAAATGTCGGAAAATCGCGTCGAATAATGCTCGGCATTAAGCAGCGAAACGTCACGACACCGTGCCAAACAACACCCCGTTCAGCCGGAGCACACATCGGAGAGCCTTTCAGCACAACAGCAAACTAGTGGGGCCGCAGACGTTTACAGCCGTATGGTTATACCATCATGTACATATTAGGTGCACAGTGGGAATGCATTTCCCACAAGAGGCGCGAACGGTGCTGTGAATAATTAAGTCAACTGTGCCTTGAGCACGGCGAGAAACCGCTGGTGTGCTTCACACGTTTGACTGGAGATTTTGAAATTGCACAGCGCTCGGGGACAATGGTTTACGTGGGGTAGAGACGCGTGTCAGAAACCCCGTTTGCCGAACAGATTCCCCTGGTTTAAGTACCCACACTGAGGCTGCGTTGGAAGGTCGAATCCCGACAGCCGCGTCGTCCTTAACACCTAAAACCCAGGAAGTTACCGTTACAAGAAGATAAAAGTGGAGTCCTGCAATTGCTTGCTCAGACCACGGCTGCGGTAAGGGCCTCCACTAGAGGGAGGCTCGAGGAAGCCTCTCGAGAATATTTTGGCCAACTCCTCCCAGGCTCCCGTTACAATAACACAGACCCAAAGACAACAACGCCCGCGTGAATGAAGACGGGGTAGAAAATAAATACAGCACTGTACGCACTTGAACAACAACAACAACAACAAAAAACCCTTCCACCGGCTGCAATATTATGTATTCGTTGGATTTCAACAGGCGGAGGCTACAAGAGTTGGTGGTTCTGATGCTGGCTGGCCTGCAGCTCCTTCTCGAGCCACGCGGTGAGGTTGTCCTCGTTGGCCTCTCTCCATCGCAGGTTGGCCTCCACCAGCTCCAGGGCCGGTCCGAACGCTGGGTTTGGTTGTCCCTGCGCCGACTGCTGCTGCTGCTGCTGCTGCGTGAACTGCTGGAGCTGCCGCGACAACAAACGCCGAAATATCACGCAAAGCGTCGCGTAACGCCCGCCTCCGTCCACGGCCCGGATCCCGTGTTCGTTTCGTCCGAATTTGTTTATCCTCGTCACGATAAGTTATTGATAAAGTCGCCAATTTGGTGTTCCAGACGTGCTAATCGCGTACGGCCATCACGAAAGCGCTGTGTTTCGCACAGGCGTAGTCTGCTATAGTTTCACAGCAGGGGTCGATGCTTTGCCATGCGTAAATCCCAAGTGATTTTTCAAACAATTGTTACCGAATTCGAATAAACAAAAAATGTCTCTTCTTGTTATTTTGTCTTGCCGACCCCTGGCGTGGGCGGGGACAATCTGTGGGATATTGTTCAAGTCCCAGTCTGTGGAATTTAATGAGCCATCAGCTTAGTCTTATCATCTAAAGTGCCAGAGAACAAAAAAAATAGTCCGCTCTTGGTTTTCTTTTTCAACATTGATGTAAGGGGGTGAGCAATTTAGCCCTCGCCCACGCCAATATTATCAGGTCAGCTGATCAATGAAGCCAGTAAATCTGTATAGAACATATACTGTATAGTCAATGACCATGTTTGGCCTTCCACGATATACTGGTGTCTCTGCTAACGTTACTAAATCATCTCCGTCAGAGTTTTAAATCAGTTTAAGATCATTTCGTCTCGTCACAGTCAAGCGTTGTTGGCCTTTGGTGTGGTCAGCAGGCATGGTCATCGTCACAACCGATGACTTTCAATCACTCGGTCACCGTTGACTAAAAGGAATATATAAAATATTGTTGACGAATATTTTCTTCAATTATTAATTGTATTAACCAAGATTAACACTGTCCCTGATCCATATTGCCATGACAGGCCCCAGTTTATTCGCAGGGTACTCACTGTTGATTTCCATTTAGTGGTTACTCATTTTATTGACTTGGGAGGGATAATGAGCACACAATGATGATGAGTCCACAATGACTGGTGCGATGTTTGAACTCCCAAACGTTGTGAGTCGTGTGTTCTCCGACCAAGAAAAAACATGCATCTGGATAGGTCTGTCAATGTAACACTCAATACTAGGGACTGCAAGTAATTGTACAAAAACATTGTTCCTGAGATCATTTAATTCTTAAAACATGTCACGAACTTATCACATTTAAACTATGTTGTAGCTTGTGATAAAATATTCGGCATGTGTGTGGTGATTCATTTCCTCTTCGATTAGATGCACCGTCATTACTTGAGGTTGTGAATACATCCAAGGAGCGGTGTTGTTTCCACAATTGTGAATTTAGCAGCCTCTAAGTGAACCACTCACATACAACAACCTGATTCTCGAACAAGCGCAATTTGATGGCTATAACGTAAGCTTAAGAATCGATTTTAATTGATCAATTGAGGCATCATTACTTGCCCAGCAATTACAGGATTGCCTTGTGATGAAAAATACTTCCATGCACAGAATGCACAGACACTTAACACGTGCTCTCACAAAAGACGCCAAAGCACCCTCACACAGACAAAGATCCCCCATATAGCCGTACCAGACTTTTCGGGGCAAGTGCTGCGAGCGAGCACACGTTACGGCCAGTGCAGCAAGCACACGTGGGGGTGGGTGGCCAACACCATGCCCGAATGCCTTTGTTTCCCCATTGGCGATGTTCACAAACTGCACCAGGCACTCAATTGAGGCTGAGTCGACGAAGGTGAAGCCCAGGACCGGTTCAGATATTGGACACCGGCGGTGGCCGTGAGCGGGAATCGAACTCGAGCCGCCGGGTTCATAGCGCAGCGTAGCGCTAACCACTGCACTACCGCTCCTCCAACGCACACACAGCCAAACATGCAAACTGTGATTCATGCGATCTACAAAACCTGCGCTCTGGTCATACTGCGTTAAACAAAAACTGGCACGATTTTAATGCAATGGCTACATACGGAGCATTTTAATGTGTTAAAAATCATATAAAAGAGGCATGAAATGTGCATCATTTCAACCACATCTGATGTCCCATTATTTTTAATTTGATCACATACATTCAAAATATATATTCAAAGGGCCAGTAAATTTTGCATTTGCACGAGGGGATGTGTGTTGCAGGGGATTTTATTCATTTATGTGTATGATAACATCCCGGTCTCTATTGGAATCTGATCCCAAAGCCAACTACATTAATGATTCTATATAATCGATCAGAATCGGTCAGTTGATCTGGCATGCTCTTGATCTAATTTTAGACTTACAATATTTGACTAATAATATAATAATGCGCTGATAACATTCGTATGTTAATTAAAACATTCACAGGATTATTAAAAGTAGCTGACCATTGAAGAGGAAAAGTCGAGCTTGAGGGCTCTGTACAGCGGTGATTATTGAGGTCACAGTTGAGCTACAGCTGAGCCATTGCATTTCCATCCAGCAAGAGCCTTAATATGACTCAATTGATTGAGACATAATCAATTGAGTCATACTTGATTCTGGTTTGCCCGGTTGGTTACGTACGGTGCGAAAGAAGTTCAACATATATACGTGTGTCGTAAACCCTCCTCCACCCGATGTAGCCAATTAATATAGATGTTGTGTGATAAACAAAACCTGTGCCCATTTAACACCGCTTCAGCAGCACCGATGTGTGGTTGGAGAGCAATTCATAACACTTATCAGCTGGGTACGAAGTATCGCTGGTAGTTACAACCAGCATCATCATGCAGTTGCCAGAATTGATTAATCGTATTCTAATGAACACGTGGAATCGAGCGAGTGTGAATAAATTAGTATTCATCATCTATACAAACTATGTGGAATCTTTCAATGGCAGTTGGATGGCAGGGCCGAACATAAGAGGAGTTTCGCTGTGTACGGCAGCTAACACTTGTTTCTAACATCCATTAAATTTGATTTATTTAGCCTAAGACTACGTCACTGAGAAGCCCCAAAAAAGTTTATCTCACGGACTTCCGTCGAATCAAATCATAACCAGCCATGATCTATCCACCGCTCCATGAAGGCCTCCCATGTACCATTACCACCACTCACAATATTGCGATGCTACGAGGCCATTCCACCGCGAGACGTGAGCTAATCTCATTGCTCCATCTCCGCAGTTCTTTCATTTGGCTACCACTCCATCACCCATTCGAATCCATCGGCCATAATTCTTTCTAGCCTCGTGTTCTGCCCAATCCCACTTTACTGTCCTTCGCAATCAACAGGACAGCTCTAATTTGCATTCGTTCCCTGATCCATGTGTTAACCCTTTTCTGTCCCTCGCTGTAATTCCAGGTCCGTGAATCTTTGCGCACTTCTAGGGCATTTGTTCCACTTCTTTTTGGGTCATCCTCCACGTTTCTGATGCACGCAGTATCGTAGGAGGTAACATGCATTGATTGAATATGGTTTTAAACATTCCAATAATAACGACACATATAATGCGCCATGATACATTGGTGTTAAAAGGTGCTGGGATATTTTTTTTAAACGCCCCACTGTCAGCACGAGCTAAGGCATGTGATGCATACGCACAACCTCACGTATTACAAGTAATTTTTCGAACCAATTGCGCAGTTAATTTGTTGAATTTATTTCCACTGACCAGCGGGTTGCATCAATGATTGCATAAAGCAAGCGGATGGTGTGGATAATGCACGTTAATGAGTATCGCAACATTGACTACATTCAAAGCTTTTGGTTTTTGCAAGTCAAGTGGCAAAAGCAAGCTTCAAACCACAAGCCCTTAACTAGGCCAGAGCATACCCCACTTAAATGTAATCGCTTACAGCCAGCAGCTTGGCTCTGTCGCTCACGTTCCCCAGACTTGCAGGTAAAAGGACAATCAGTTAAGTTTGACTCTTGGCCACCTTGGGTGACGTTTTTTTAAAGAAAAGTAACTGGTGGCCGTTGATTTTGCTATGATGTTGGCCTCAGGTGACCTACAAGGTGTAATGAGTTATTGCCAGTGGTAGCGATATTGAGAGAGAGGCCAGGAAGTGAAGGATGTGAGTGAATTTCATTGATTCTATCTGCACAGGCTCGTGGCTGTACATATAATAAGGCGCACGTTTAATGGAAAGATGTCCGATGGCAATAATAAGGATGGTGATATAGGTGATGGAGATGCCGGTGGGAATTACGATGGTGGAGGTCGTAATTATACGACACCGCGGAATTGATTGTGATGGAATGACGTTACGCGCGTGCGATTCATTCATTATCTCAGCCACCTCGATCACATTTCATTCCGCGGATCTCAACGCTGACTGGCTACCATGAACGTAAATGTTTCGGGGGGCGGAACGTGTGGGTGGGAGACAACGGTGAGACAAGCAGGCAAGCTGGTTACGGTGTGCAGCATGCACCTGGAAGGTTTTCTAGTTTCATTGGGGTCGACTCAGCTCGTTCACCGTCCAGAGTCGATACATTCCGTAGGAATTGTGGGGAGTCTACAGTGACGGTTCTATGAATTTACTCGCCCAGCTCCCACGAATGTGAGGGACTGCCCCGACCAGCTCATTGCCATACAAGGGACGGTGAACATCACTCCAAAGTAATTTGAACAACGACAACATTAACAACAACGCTCTGACTTGAGAACTCGAACGGCAGTTAGCGAAATATTCTGCGATTTCATTGACATTCGTCATCACGAGCCATTGTCTATCGACTGCTGGATGGAGGCCTACCCTCTTCGCCGCCATCACTCAGGGTTGTGTTGCTAGTTCCATCCATGTCTCCTGCTCATGAACTGATCTCATCATAGCAATTTCTCCGTGAGGGTGGTCCCCTCCTGGATGCTCTCTCTCTCTCCCTTTGGCTGCAATTTCCTTACCGGTCTCGTCCACTTGCCATCATCCTGTCCACTCAAGCCCAGCTTACTTGCCTTAATTGTCAATGCGATGTCTCTAGATTTGCGTTTGTTCTCTGACCCGTGCGTTCCTCTTTCTGTCTTTCAGCGTAGTGCCAAACAGGCATCTCTCCACGTGATCCATCATGCGATCGTAAGCTTGTGTTCTGTTTTCTTTGGCCAGTGTCCATTTTTACTGATCCACGTGTCAAAGTGAACGCACCGGTTGAAAACGTGCCTCTTAATAAACAATGCTAAAACTCGTTTTCGTTTTCAATCTCAACTGTCCGAAGGAAATCCAATCCAATTTAATCGTGCTAATATCAATCGGCCTACTCATATTTAGCTTAAGTCCAACTGGCCAACCAGCTGGTTGAAATGACAATGTTATTAGCAACTAACTGACATGAATACATTAAAATTCACAATATAATATAGTAGACAAAGATACTTGAACTTGTGCATTTGTATGCTCTGGCTGTTGTGGGTTTACTATCCAACACACCGGTGTGCTAAACTAGAAACTAACGGGCGTGTGTTGTTTACGTGACAAACCCTACTAATTAGCTGTGTTGGGTGGTGCCGGGATTAACGACACATTTATATTTTTGCAATCTATCCCAAAAAACGCTCTATTATTACATACTTTACCTTGTAATTATTTATATGTTTTGGGAGAATTTATATTTCAAGACACAAACACACGTCAACTAAATACACGCTGGAAGAGACAGCCCATTGCCTGTGCTTTATGGCAACATGCAAATTAAGTGAATGGATGAATTCAATAATTTTTTTATTCATTATCTGAGCTCTCATGAGAAACTTTCAAACCCTTCAAACTTTTCCTTCTGCCTCTGAGATTTGTATGAATTTAAATTCGCTATAGTCTTAGTTTCCATTAGTTTCAGGCAGTTTTGATACTCTTTGCAACAGCATAATGTTGTTTTCGGAAAATCTGTTTCATTAGTATGTATTGCTTTTATGTATAATGTTACCGTCGTGTTTTATGGACAATGCTTGCAATCACGCACAACGAAACATAATCTATTTGCACTAATGCCAGGGGGCGCTTTACAAATGGTAGGAATATTACCAACTCATTCATATATACATGACACCGGGAGAGCTGTTAAAGCAAAGGTGCAGGCCTGCAATAGCTTGCTTATGCAACTGCTGGCAAAAGAGTCTCCGCTGGTGAGAGCGCTAGAGAGACCCTTCAGAGGGTATTTGGCCTACTCTTCCATGCTGGCCAATCATCTTGGATGAGGTCGGAGTACCCACACTTTAGCCCACCACACGGCACCTGCCAATCGACTTCAATGTGGAGATCCCTTTTATACCGCTGAGTGGACAGCGGTGGAGGGGGATTTAAGAAATTTGCGCCATTGCTTCAAATATCACACCGGGAGAGTGAACCAGTGACCTCTGGATTGCAAGTCCCTTGTGCTAACCATTATACCATTGGGGGCATCTGAGAATGGTATGTGAACATAATTTTAAACATTGCTGTGTGATAAATTAGCAACTTTAATGGAAAAAAGAAGACTCGTAAATTTCTCTAAATCCGATTAGTACATTTATATTTTATGTTCTCTACGGCAATTATTATGTAAATATGCTGTACTCGCTCATCTAAAAACAAATCAAAATGGGCACATTTGTAAACACACAGCACTTTGCGTATGCTGCACTTTATAAACTGTAATTTCTCACGAGCAGAGGCTAAATCATGCACTGGGCACCTCGTTAGAACTAAGGACTAATTCATGCCGAGGTGAATCTAATCTTTCCTTCATTCATCCCTGCGCTTAGTTCACGACACTAAGGGCTCTTTCACGGGACACCTGAGTAAAAAAAGAAAAAGCAACGAGGTAAACATGATAAAAAAAAACTGATTCTAATTTGTAATATTCACCAAGTAAGTTTGAGGAAACGGTGAAAGCGAGAAAGAGAGGAAAAAAAAAAGTGGAAGCAACAAATTGGTATGAAGTATGATTTATTTCTGTAAAAGAACACATAATGCGGAAAACCCAGGGACTGCCTGGGATAAGACGGTAATTCAAACGTAGGCCTAGGCCGACTCAGAAGACCTTGGATTGGGGGTGTAATTTTCTTGGACAGGGCTCAGTGTGGGACAATTCCTTTGCAAGAATTTGCCAAAGACTGAGTGAGCCCTGTGGCGTAGGATCGGAGAACGGTTACGAATGGAGAAAACAAAAAACCATACTTAATACTTAATTTATTTGGAAGTTCCTAAGTTTGAGTGTGTGCGAGCCAACATTCTAACAAGAGGAAAGTCAAATACCCACGTGTTTAGAGATCACAATCCAGGTAGAATGTGTTCATCGTGATGAGCGACACAATGCTTGCAGAACGGAGTGGGCAATGTGGCTGCTGCATTACATTAAGAGATAATATCACGTTCCTCTTTGGGAAATGACAAGTGGGCCAAGAGACTGTGTTAAAGTCGAGTTCCATACCTCCTCCAATTCTTCAGCCAAACTGAGAAATCTCGTTACGCCATTGATAAGTCGAGCAGTCATGAAGAGTGCTTCGCCATACCTGAATGTGTAACCAGAGGCACCCGACAACAAGCACAATCACGTCATGCTTGCGTTATCAACACCGCAATACTCGCGCGTACATAAATTCGATGCATATAAACAGTGTGCTTAAATGTGGTGCCGTGCATCGGCAACACAGCCATTTGCGTGCAGGACTGTGTAGACAAAGCAGATATGGAGCGTGCATGATAGGATTTCTTCCTGTGCAATGAGGTCAGTGTAGCCACTGTACCACCAGTTGTGTATCGAGTGTCATCACATACAGGCACAACAAGCCGGTTCCACATGCCAGGCATTTGTTGTATCGGTGGGCTCTCACTACGCACCCCCGGCTGCTCCCTGTGCTCAGTCAAGTTTCTGCTCCTTTCCCCTTCTGGCTCCCCTCCTTTGGAATAAACTCCCACTCCACATCAAACGGGCATCGCCACTCAACGTTTTCCGTTCCTCCCTTAAGACTAATCTTTTTTCAATAGCGTATCCCTCGACTACGTCCTCTCTGCATCCTTTCAACCTTAACCATCCTCCCCCTTCCCCTCCCTTTCCCGACCATCACCCTTCCTTGCCATCACTTACCCCTCCACAACACGCAGACCCCATCCCTTTTCCCCGTCAGCCAATACTAATGGACAATTCATAATTCTTGTAAAGCGCTCTGACAAAAGCGCTTCGTGAAATCCCGCCCCATTGTTTCAACTGCCATGCCGAGAGTTCGAACCGGCGACATCCGGGGTTGCAAGTCCAGCGTGGTGACCACCACATCATGGCGATATCCTATCGGTGACGTCAAATACTCGTTTCCAATGCTGAACACCGCGCTACCATGCCACGCAAAAGCTCACACACACACACGGGACAAGCTGGCAATAACCGGTGCACCTTTGGTTGAGGATCGGCCACTTGTCCCGAAGGAAGGCCCACGCCAAGGAGCGCCCCACAGGATTGTGGGCAATGTTGATGATCAGGTCCACGGCCTCCTGCTCTGCGATGAGATCTTGATGGAGAGATGTGCTCAGCAGTCTGCTCACAGGCACACACACACACGATGTATAACCTAGCCTCACGGACTGATGGGGTGGTGTGGCCAGCACCATGCCCGACCGCCTTTGCGCTGATGTTCAAGCACTGCAACAGATAATTATTTGAGGCTCAGTCGACCCAAGGGAAGCCAACGACCCATTTAGACGGTCACCACTGATGTTAGAATCCTAACCACAACGCCACCACTCTTCATACACCCAAAGGCAAAGACACAGATCCGACATATATAGACTTAACAGACTTGGGACAGGTGCTGTTAGCGAGCACCAATGAAGGACAGAATGGAAAACAAGGGGGGTGGGTGGCCAAGAACCATACCCGGCCGTATTTGTCTCCCCTATGACGATGTTCACGCATCACACCATGCACTCATTTGAAGCCGAGTCAACCTCGGGCAGGTCCAGGATCGGTTCAAGTAATTGCCACTGGTGTTGGCTGTCAGTGAGAATCAAACTCGGGTCGCCGGGTTCACAGCGTATCGTGCTCACCACTGCACTACACTAACCCACAGACGCGCGCACACACACGTGCACCGACACACGTAAACACACAGGGGGAAAGACAACCATCTCCATTTAACATTATCGATTATCAGAGGAAGTGCTGTCAGTCAGCATGCATTTTTTGTTGTAGGGGAGGTCTCCGACTGGTTCAGATATCACTTTGCCACACTCCCCTTCATTTGACGCATTGCATGTAGTCCCGCCGCACCGGAATGGATGTTTGTGGATTTTCTGTTGTATCATGTTGTTGGAATTCTCCCAGTGTGGTTTGGCAGGTCCGCATGTCATTGCAATAAAAATATAATAATACAAAAAATATATCACTTGATGTGAGCCATGATCAGGATTCGCACTTAGGTCACTGGGTTTAGGCACGTATGTACGTTGAACTTCTTTCGCACCGTACTTAGTCATCCGTGGTAATCGGAGGCGTGATGAAAGAACAACGCAAACTAAACACACAAAAAAAGCAGTTCTAAACAAATGAGTTTTCAATTTCGGAAGAGCGTTCCAGATAGCCGCAGAAGCGCATCTGAAAACGCGCGATGTAGCGACCGGCTTTGTTCGATGGATAGCCAATGGCAGCTGCTGCCAGCATGACCGGAGTTTGCACGATGATTTATGGTCCTTGACGAGTGCGGAGCACTTGCCATTACACCACCACAAACAAAGATCCCCCATATAGCCTTAAGAGACTGTAGGGGCAAGTGCTGTTAGCGAGCACCTATGAAGGACGGAACGGTACACGAGGGGGTGGGTGGCCAGTACCACGCTCGACCGCCTTTGTCTCCCTAGTGGCAATGTTTACACACACGCACCAGGTACTCATTTGAGGCTGAGTCGACCTAGGGGAGGCCCGGGACCGGTTCAGATAATCGTCACCGGGTCGCCAGGTTCATAGCGCAGCGCGCTAACCGCTAAACTATCGCTCCCCACACACACACCCACACAAAGTACACACCCACACAAAGATATAAAGACAAACACACAGTACGGCAGTCATAGGTTAGTTGACAGGAGGGCCATAGCATATAGGTTAAGCAGTGGTGAAGGTTGTCTCTATGCAAAGAGCTCACACGAATGCATGGAGATACCAATCTCTCTCTAGTGGCATTTGGAGTAACCCTTATGCACCGTCGAGACAGATTTAGCTGTTTTGCTTCCAATTGGAGTGAGCAGCACACTGTTAGAAGCTAAATATGTTTAAATTCAAGATATGTCAACAATATTTGCATGTTACCGATTAAAATAATGCATTGAGTGGCCCGGCACACTTTTAAATAAGTCATTAAGCGCAAAGTGCATGTGTGTGAGACGGTTTCTAGAGCAACATACGTGCCCTGCTTTACCATTGCATGCAGAACGAATGCACACCCAGTGAATTGTATTATTGCTCTGCTGCTCTTGGGTTTAATGAATCTGAAATTACGACGTTTTAATAGCTGCACATTACTGTCATAATTATCAAGAGCCAGTCTTCGCATCGAGGAGCGTACAAGCCGATCAACAGATGCATCTATTCAAGCGGGGTTTTTATTCCTCTTCAAATCCATACGCCGCTGTCTGCTTTCGCTGCGTCGTCGTTACCAGCGCATTCGCCAATGTCATCAAAAGCACACGCTGTGATCGCTCCTGTTGGACGGTGTGACATTCCAAAGACAACACGCCTACGCCTGTGCGATATGCAATATTGCTCGCCTCAACGCAAATCTCACAGCACTCTCTCCAACCCCTTTCCGACGCATTCACTCTCTTGGTAACCACTGCGCAACCACGATTGTGAAGACTATTTACTACTGCTACGGCAATTTTAATTTTATTTTGCCAGCTGCACAGGTCTTTTTCAGAAGCGACCTGGCCGCAAACGATAGCTCAACGAAAGTGGCTTATCACGTTGGAAATTTACGGCGGCCGAATAGTTTAAACGCGTGACGTCGTTTCTAAATATGGAGGGGAAAACCGGAGGGCCCGGCAAAAAATCCACGCGTCCACACTGAGAACATGCAAACTCCAAATATACAGGTGTCAGGGTTGGGATCGAACCGAAGCCCTCCTGTATACTAGGCGAGGCAGTTAGCATCTCAACCACCACGGCCGCCCCTATGTGCTCGCGAGCCCTTGAAAGCCAAATTGAACCCAAACTTTGATGTTGTTGTCGCTGTTATTAGAGAGTGGGTAGTGGTGGCATTACGTCAACATTTCAGTGACCAAGGTTTTGGAATTTCTGGAAATTTCTTGCACATTTGCATCTGCAGTTGGCCAAGGTTTGCCTTGGTAGGGTCGACTCAGCTTAGAATGAGTGACCCAGTGAAGTTCATAAACACATCACCACTCGGGAAATGAAGGCAAGAGTGGCACGTAAGAGGCTGGCTCCACGACCTCGTACACTATGCTGGCCTCAATAGTCGCTCGCAAAACGCACTCGATGCCACCGTTCTGAGGCTGTATAATAGCCCTCTGACGATGCATTTTCTGGTTTTCCCGCACGTCGTTCGCTCAAACCCTGAAACACATCGGAGAGCCGTACAGCGGCAAGTTTGAAAACCTACGTCGAGCAGCATTCGAAGGCTGCCTCTGTGAATTGATGCCTCGCTGTTGATTCTCTACGCCACGTGTCTTTATACTTTCAATGTCAAGTGACTGGACAAGTGCACCTCTCCAGGCTTCTCTGAATAGAAGTGAAGTTATTCTTCGTAAAATTCTCTTTCGTGTGCTGCATTAGAAAATAAATCCGCTTTGTTGTATACCGCGCAGCGAATTTAGACACACTGATTGTTGGAATTGCTTTAAATATAGTTACCGATTAGCAGTATCTGTTATGCCCGCAAGCTAGAAATTAATTGGTTCGATGTGATTTGATTTCATTTGAAATAAATGTTACACCTCTCATTTTATTTGGGAAATTGCATTTATTGTTAGACATGAGCTTAGATTAAATGTCTCTAGCAATTCCGCGTAAAATACGTTGCAAAAAGTCGACGAGTTTTTCCTTTCGTTATTTCGAGTGAGATATATTTTTTGTTGTCATGTTCTCCGCAATGAGATGTAAACAATGGACGCATTAACTATTCAGTGGTGACTCCAACATAACCTTTCAATGGCAAAGAATAATGCATTCCGAACAAGTTCTGAAAATTCGTCCCAATGTCAAATATAGTACACAGGAAAGTGTGCATGTGACTTCGAACGCGATGAAGACGTACATTAGGCGGAGAGGCCACACACACACACACACGCAGAAAGTGATTGGCCTTGTAGCTTCACGAGAGGAAAAATGTAAGTGGAATGAACCGGAAAAGAATTGAGGAAAAAAAAAACTAACAGAAATTAAAATACAAAAAACGTAAATACTCGGTCCATATTTATATATTTTAAATGACAGATTGTCAGGAGAAAAATATCAGTTTTGTTTCAGTCCCTAGAGCAACAGGGGCGTAAGCGATGGTGGCACAGATCGTCTGATTTACCGTGCGCTGTGAGTAGATTTACGACACAAAGCTCACATTTTTCTCGCCGCCAAAGCCCAACTTGAAAAATACCGTCAGTGGCCGAAATGCACGAACAGCCAAAACCGAATTGAGTCGTCATCTTTTCTTTGCTTGCAAAAACCCCCAAGACAACCTCCCACAAGACCACCGCAAACAATTGTGAAATTAATAATCTCACGTGTACGCTTGGCAGTTGAGCAGCCCTATTACCGTCTTTGATGTTGACATGAGCATTCATCAAAGCCATTAACACAACAAAATATACGTTTAAAATAACCACACACACAAACTGATGACAGGCTGGTTAAAATATCAGCTTAAAGAGACACTAATAAGGCAGTTCTCTCACTTCATGGACGTATTCATCTGTCAACAAGCCCAAGTGAGTGCCCTGTGTGTGGAGGACAAGCGAATGATTTATAGCCGCCTACGAGTTCACTCGTAGGCAGCTTATTCTTGGTTCCTTCGGTAAAGTCACGTAGAAGGGAAACAATAAAATAATAAAAATATAAAACAATAAAATTCTCACGACGTTTCGACTGCAACACAAGCAATCATCATCAGGTGTGAAAACCACAACAAGAAAATTTGAAAAAGTGGCGGTTATTTTTAACGTTAGCACCACGGAGAGAGATTTGACAGTTTGTTCAGATGGACGAGTCCATCTATGTTCGGAAAAGAGGAGGGGGGAGACGTAGGCAGCTGTCATGCCACTGCGTGGGCGTTCACGGTTGTGCTGCAAGGCCCTCTGATGTGTTTTCAGGTTGTGCCGCGCGTTGTTCAGGACGATGTTCGACATTTCGCTTCCACATGACGGGAGCTTCTTCAGGACCTGCACATTTGTACAGATAGAAATGTCAGACGTCGTGCGGAACAGCGCGTGGTATATCCCCAAAACACATCAGAGGCAGTGCACCGCTACTTATCGCTACTTATTGCTACGCGCAGGGAATATTATGGCAGTCTCTATATCTGTCTGTCTGTCCTTGGATATGTCAATTGTTTGCATGAACACCACAAAACCCCTAACCTAATAATTATGAAACACATCTCACCCATACCAATGCCCAGATCTGTATACAATTTCATAGCAAGTTTGGTAGCGTAATACCTTTAAAAAAATTGCAAAGTTAACATGAATCTGCAATGACGGCATGATTGGTGTTGCGCGTGTTGGAATGTGCGAGCGTGGGTGTAAGCTCAGGAATCCGCGAGTAGTTTTTTGTGGCATCCTCGTCAATGCCCTTTCCCTGCCTCGATGCGACGACACTTTGGCAAGGGGTTCTCGTTCTCGAGGGGATGTTACTTCGCTTCGTGGCACTGGCTTCGAGCACAGCGATGGGGAAAATGGTAGCACGTGTACATTTTGAAACAATTGATAGGCGGAGAGTTTAATGTGAGAAGATAGCGGGTAGCAAACAAAGTGTTAAATAGTACAAAGCAATAATACGTAAATTTGTTCAAATTAAAGTAGTAGTAGCAGTGGGTTTTCCCCCTTTTATCTGGCAACAAAACAGGTGTTAAGCTGTTAAAACACCAAACTGAAACCTTTTACAAGGAATCATGCCTGCATTAACCACAATACTCAGTCTCAAAGACAATGCATATATTATCAGGGTATGTTTTTTTGTTAGCATTTTGACCAAAAGTATTGTGGTTAATGCAGACATGATTCCTTGTAAAAGGTTTCAGTTTGGCGTTTTAACAACTTAACACCTGTTTTGTTGCCAGATAAAAGGGGAAAACCCTATTCTAATATTCTGGTACTGCCAAAGGAGGTCCCATAATGTAGATATAGTAGCAGTAATAATAACAATGATGCCCTTTGTTTTCCCACTAAAGTTCCACCGAGGCTCACAACTCATTTTGCAGGAAAGCCCTGTATTGGGATGTTTGGCCAATTCCATTAATGAATTTTCGGTATTTGCAGGAGAAACTAGAACACCTCAAGAAAACCCAAGTGATAATACTCAAAAAGCTTTGCACAGATGGATTCATTAATCCAATGCTCTACTGCCATCTGCTCATCTCACACCCAAAGCCTACAACACCTGATACTCCAACACTCAAAGTATTTCCCCTTTTAATACTCACGTAAAAGTATTGAACAGCTCTGAGCTAGTGTTATAAAAAAACAGATTTCTATGATCGGGATCAGTCTTTCAAAAAGCCAACTCCAACTTCTTGTTTCATCTAGCCTAGGTAGAATACTTTTGCCACGTAACCAGGATGGATGGGGGATGGTTACTAAGGATGGCACTTGAGGGAAGTGTATCGTTAATGTGCTAAATAGGTCAACAACAACAGCCCGGATTCATTTTGCATCCATAAAAATCGTCACTGAGAGCAGTTCTGTTTAGCCTAGCGGACCCACCTGATGGCAGCTTTCCTTATGCGGCACAAGGCGAATGCAGAACCGGCCTTGGTGTGCCAATAGGGGGAGGGGGGGGGGGTGGTGATGTTGCTATTGGTTTCCCAGTCAAGCAATTTTGGGTTACAATTTACATTTGGAATTTGGATCATGCCACCGGAACACAGGGCCGACGCTCTTTACTCAATAACATCACAGGGTCATTGACATCCACTGCGGTGCAGACAACACGTATTTTATGATGTATACATCAACAAGACGGTCGGACCACATCCTAATGTGGACATGCCTGGGACTCTTGACAAAGCAGGCAAATAGCACAATAACTGAGTGGAAACGACAATATACGAGGGCATTTGCTGTGGTCATGCCGCCCCGAAAGTCGACGCGACCACAGGTGATGAAGAAGAGAGAGATGATGGTCTGGGAATCAGGCCACGCGGTTATGGGATGCGCGATCTTGGCACAGCACCACTCGACTGGAACAGGAATGTGTGCACGTGTATGGCCCTTTTGTTCTATCCACTGCTGGACGAAGGCCTCTCTCCACGCCGTGAGTGACATGGGCGTTATTTGGCTATCCTTCACCATACTGGTCAATGCGGGATGGTGAAGGTGGGGAGTGTAACGGCTTGAGGACATAGCACGAATTTTGCTGGCCGTGCCTCTGCTGCCCACAGCGTCGCGCCGCTGCGCCCTCTGGCACCTGTTGAGCAGCGGCGGTGGCTCAACCAAGCACTATCCAGCCCCCATCCTGCTCAGCTTCTCATACGTGACGACGTCGCTCTCATTCTCGGTGAATTGGTCAAAGACGGATCAGAATACACGAGGCGATTGAAACACGCGCAATTGACCTTTGGATGGTGGTGTTGTCCCGACTGCAAGTGAGGGCCTCCAACAGCAGTTTTCTCTCCGACACGGCGGACGTGGCTTGGCAGGTTTTCCACACGAAGTCCCAAGCATCCTGGCCCGACAGTGAAACTGCCACGCAGTAAACCAGGCCGCGCACGTTCGGCGGAATTCTGCAAGTAAACATCTCACTCCTTGAATAATCGATCATCATCATCACACGGACAGCGACCCACGAAATTATACACGCATGTGCGGTTTAAAAAAAAAAATATCTGACGGAGCGCATTCACCGGAGGTGGTGAGGTCCCAAAAGGGGGCTAACGATTGAGGCCGGCTACCTCGATATTCTGGAGTTAAACCCATCTTTGACCACTCCCGTAAAGGATGTTTTCGTGGCTGTGTTGTACCGCTGTTCGACGTGTCTGTGGGTCGTACGGATTGTTCAGCACCATGTCTGACGTTTCCCTCCCTCATCCACGTGATAAGCCACTTCATTGAGCTATCATTAGTGGCCAGGTCGCTCCTGAAAGAGCTCAGTGGGCTTCATCCGGTAACATAAAATACTTTAGTTTTATTTCCATATTTTTTTTAAGTGATTTGTTTACAATTCCTATACATTGCACTCCGATCGTGTTTTTTGTATTGTTTGTTGTTGTAATGTTTTGAACCCCTATTGGATGTTTATGAAAAAGAGCTTCACAGCTCATCGGATTCCCCCAGTATAAATACACATTCAGATTCTGAACTTCTTTTTTCAGGAGTTCATTTAATTAGAAATTCAGCGGCAGAACCCGACGACATCGCATGTCGAAGAGCTAAATCAGATCTTGCGTTCCCGGCAAGCAAGCAAAGGAGCGTGGGCGCTGCTGCTGCTGCTGTCAGACTGCCCATTGACGGCAGCGCAAGCGGAAATTGTCGAGAATTGGCTTGCGCACTTAATTTGGTCTAATCCAGCTCCGGAGGCTACCAAAATAATTCACGAGATCAAGTGAATTATTCACTTGCCTCCCCCCATCGTGCTAAACTCATTCCTCCGCAATTGAATTAGCCGAGGTTTATTGACTTATACACGCCAGGGAGAGGTCCTGTGGCGTTTCAGTCCGCAGCTGGTCTCTGCTGGGATGCGTCTCAGTTGGGAGTTCCGATAATAAGATAACGCTCGGCTCGCCTACCTGACAGCCGCAGTGCAACGGTAATAACATTGGCAGCAATAACAACAACAACAACAACAACAAAATGAGTAAACCATTTAATGTTTTATAGACGAGAGCTGCACCGCAAGACATGTAAGTGTGCGTTTTTTTCGATGGCCGCAGAATAAATTTTTACGGGTTTATTTATTCAGAAGCTGCTGTCAAAATGAAAATAAAACAAACGCTTCCAAATTGCGTTCACCGAAGCTTTAACATTTTAACATTTCGGCGTGCCGTTCAATAATGACCCACCACAGAAACTTCGACTTGGACAGCCGTGGGGAATGAATGGGGCATCTGGAGTCAGTTTTACAGAAGCAGCTGGATGGGATAAAATCGCCCGCACATCTTTTAACTTTGTGTTTCATTCATTTTAGTTTTATATGCGAACTCTTTTTTTATTATGTTATTACTAAATGGAGTAATGCAGGATGCATCTCTCTTCACTGATTCTTTTGTTGTTGTTGCTCAGGTCATAAAATGTAAAAAAATGTACAACCCTTTGTCAGTACACTCCCTCCCAAGCTGTACATTCTGTGGTTGGGAGTGGGAGGATCGGCAAGGGACGTTTAGAAAAAGGTTCATTTTTATTTTAGCAGCTTATGTTAAGCTACTCAATTCAAACCTATATATTCTTAAATGTATAGCCCTCTGTCAATCAACTATTACAGGGCCTCCCCGCACCATGTCAGTCATTGGGGTTGTTTGACCATACTGCATCAGCATGTCGTCTCAGTCAGGCGACCCGTGGCACCTGGGTCTGCCCCGTGACCTCCTGCCAGCGGGCGTTCGACACTTCACGTGGCCTCAAGGTGCACATAGCCTGGCACAAGCGTCGTGGTGACGTCACCGCCACTTAGTGGCGAATGGCGGTTGTTGTTGTTGTTGACCATACTGCACAACGTTGGTCCGTGAAGGTCGGTGAAGGGATGACCCCACAACCGATTAATGTATCACCTGATCGCTCGTCTCTGATGGTTGGTCATGGCCTGGAATCAAACTCAGTCGCTAAATTCATGGCACGGTTCATTTTACCACTGCAACACCCGAAATAATCCAGTACGGTATATGTGTGTGTGCTTCATTAGGTCTTGCATTTAAACACGTGATGTATGGCTGCTATTTTGGGAAGGCATTCGATCAGTGAGGTATAAGCAATCCACACACTACAGCAAAGCTAATGCATGGTGATAGGTTCAGATATGTCTAATTACAATACGTACTGGTGCTTTAATCTCTATGTTTGAAATCTATGTCGCCTAAAGTACGAAACGAACTTTGGAATGGTATTCGCACGTTTGAAAGGCAGCGACCCACAACAGGAATTAAAAGTTTAGCGCCTTGTTTTTGTTAACATTCGTCCATTAATGCTTCTAAGTCTAATGACAGTGTATAGATTTGGTTTCCAGTAGGTGGAGCAATGTGTCCTGGCCTGGCTAATGATCCAAGAGTATAATTCACTAATAATAATAAAGTGATGCTTTACATAATCAGCAAATGGCCATGTGCCGACTGCACTTTATACGTCCTACCTTGACTCTGCGACGTTAAACTACGACCAGACAGTCTCGCCCCTTCACCTGATGAAGGCCGCTTGTGTTGTGGCCGAAACGTCGTGAGAATATTATTGTGTTATTTTATTCTATCAATTTATTATTTTATTCTCATTCTACGTGACTTTACCGAAAGAACCAAAGAAGAATACGAACGTATCTTTGGTTGAAGTCTCCCGCCGGTGAATGCACATCATTATATTCCTCTCTCGTGAACAAAGATTTGCCCCTTTGATGCACATTAGAATAATTGTCTACACGTAACTGCGTGAGCTCAGGGATCTTAACGCCCAGCAATGGCTCGTGGTATTCATAGCCACACTGGCATGTTAAAAAAAAAAAACTGTGTATCCAGCCACACACTCCACTATCCAGCCAAACTCTACTATTCCAGCCACACGAGTGTGTGCATGCAAATGTTACCAGGTGCACACATTACGCACATCGTTTCAATGCATGCGCTGCATTCACATGCACCCAAAGTCTCCCCCAAACGCAAAAACGATGGACCCATTCATCGAGCTACCGGGTGCCATCAGCTTGGTATAACGGTGTGCTGGTCATTGTACAAAGCATAGCAGCGCTGCGATGCCCCATTTAACATTATACACGGTGTCCGCAATATATCATTTACCCTCATCTTATAGGTATTATTAAGGGAAGTCAATGTTAAATATAATATCAATTGAATGTAAATATAGCTTACTAGTCAATGACAAGTGACCTAATAGGAATGTATCTATTACTAATGGGTGGAGTGGTAGCACCGCAGCGCTTATTGCACTGTGCATTGAATTGGGTCACCTGTGTTCGATTTCCGGCCGTGGTTAACATCATCATGGAACCTCCTTTCATCAGTACCAAAATATGAGAGGAGGTTTTCCCATTTTTTATGGCAACACAACAGGTGTTAAGATGTTAAAACACCAAACTGAAACCTTTCACGAGAAATCATGTCTGCATTCTAACCACACAATAGTTGTGTGGTTAGAATGCAAACAAAAAACATACTCTGCTAATATATGCATTGTATTTGAAACTGATTGGTCCACACCAGAGACAGCTTTCTTTCGAGACTGGTCTCAAACGTTGTGAGACCAGCGTCCTCTGGTCAGAAAAAAAAGGGGAAACCCTATTCTCATGGTTAACATCAGTTGAGAGTTTATTTTATCTGAATGGTGCCTGGGCTGCCCCCATTCACCAATGCACACTAATCAGCACGGAGAAGTATGATTAAACAACCCTCAAATGACCGACACGGCACGGGGATGGCCTTCATTCAGCGGTGGATTGACAGATGGCCGTACATTATTAAAAAGCATTAGTATTAAAGGCTCATTTTATAACACATAGATTATCATGGGTCAGTTTAACACGTAGGCTTTTGCAACCAATATTATTGATAATAAAGGTTTTTGGGTTAGATCACGTAAGTATAAATGTATGGTAACCCTCCACCACCCAACACAGCCAGTAAGGTTTGTCACGTAAACTACGCGCGAATTAGTTCTGGCAAATCGCCCGATGATGCTGGATGTAATTACCGGCGAAACGTCGTACTGCTCAAATTGTAAATGTTGTGGATTTACTCCACAACACACCGGTGGGCTGAAGTAGTAACCAATTGGCGCGTTGTTTACGTGACAAACCTTACTGGCTGTGTCGGGTGGTGGAGGGTTACAACACATTTATTCTCACGTGATCTAACCCAAAAACCTTTATTATGAATTATCATGGGTCACAGAATTCACTTCTAAGCCATCAAGTAGTCCGGGAGGGTCAGTGTGAGTCCTCAAGATTATCACAGGAGAGTATATTCCTACTCCACATTCGATGTGTCATACTACACAGCGTCATTGTGTTGTGAAGTATTACCTGGAACAAATAAATACACGAGACACGGGTAAACCGAAACACAGACTTAGCTATCACCGGAAGAACAGGTCATTGTAGACAAGGTCGTGCACACTACTCAGGCAGGTAACCTTCACCAGCACAGCAAGCATAGACGCGTTGCACTGATGTCACTCACCGCAATTAGACTCATCACTGTGCACTGACGGGAGGTCCAGACCTAGGTTCAGATACCAATTGCCATTGGTGTTGTGCATGACCAGGAATCACACTTGGCTCACTGGGATTGTACAGCCGTTCACTGGCCGCTAATCCGCTGACATTGAAACGACATGCACGCAGCAGCAACAACACCAATAACATGAGCGACCATTTGCCACTTGGTGATGGTGATGTCACCGCAGCACTTGCGCCAGGATAGATTTTGCGTGGTGACCATGTGCGCTTTGAGGCCACGTGAAGTGTAGAAGGCTGTGTGGCTAGGAGTCATGGAACAGGCTCAGGTGCTAAGGGGTTAACTGACTGAGATGACTGGCAGATGCACCACCTGTGTTCCCCGCTGTGAAACCAACTCCCCACATGCACACACACAAACGCAACATATATATAGACTATAGACAAAATGGAAAACTGATCCCAGTTCTTCAAAGTCACATAGCACACCAAGAGAAAATGAAAAAAAAGTATCTTTGTGGTCTGCAAGGGTTATGTTGTGTGGTCGGGGATGCTGTGCATTCACCTGTTGACTCCGTCAGCCATCCAGTGTGACAGGAGGGACATTGCCTGATCCTGGCAGTCTCTGAGGCTGTAATGGCATGCCAGTGCAATAACCTGCTGCTGCAGCTCTCTGTGTTAACAGCAGATGGACAGAAGAACACACGAAAACGAGTGTTAATCGCATCAACTGAAATAATTTTTACAATATCAACCAACTACAGTCAAGCCTGATATTTCAATAGCGTTGGTTTGTCTCATCAATAAAACGTCCGTTCATCTCGTACCTCCGATTAGCATGGGTTGGCTATGTACAGTGCGAAAGAAGTTCAACATAGATACATCTCCATGCCCGAGTGGGCATTTTTTTGGTCATCTACACTGGTGGGCTCAATGTAAATGGTGGAAATTGTACATTCCTATAACAGGGGCCAGAGAAAACCACCACTGTCCAGAATAACCGCTGCCACATCAAGTTGTCGAGAACGAGACCATGGCATGTCTGACTGTGTTTCTGCGTACAAGGTGACTTCAGATGTGATCAAATATTGACAAATGTGGTCTCAAAATAAGCAGATTATTTTCATTGGAAGATCATAGGACAATTCAATGGTTTTAGACAATGGAATTAACCAACTCTTTAAGAATCACAACAAAGCCCATTGTGAGACATAGCCTTACATAATCTTGCACAGGCATTTGTCCTGGAAAGCTAACCCACTGATGGACTAACCCAATTAATACTTAACTCTGGTTTTATAAACATTAATGTATATTCCATATACTCAAAATATTAGGTCATTTGGTGGAGTAACATTTTTTTCAATGACCATCCAATTGATTTCCACTTTAGATGACTGCAGCCATCCTTGGATGGGTGTCTGGCGATCAGGGCTATGGGAATAGAGACCGACCCATTCAAAATAATAACAATAACTATTATAAGCGCTGTGACAGGTATGATTTTATTGCATGCCACCTCAACGGCATCGCTCTTCAATTCGCAGTCAAGCATAAATATAACCACAGTAAGACGGATGATGAAAAAGAGCTTTGCATTGACAGGCCAGATAACAGTGCAATATACAGAGTGACAGGGAAACCAGTCGATGCATTACCTGGCACACTCATAAAAAAAATTCTTAGGCAGTCATCTCCGCGTGGAGCTTAGCGAATAGCAAATATACGGCACTTATTTCCCAGACATTGATTTTGGAGCTGATTGGATCTAGAACTATAGGGGGAGGTGACTGATATAGAGAGATACATTGAGACTGTTTTTTTTAGTAATGTGTCGATAAGCCACCAGCGAGATGTCGCGATAGCAGGCGCTGCACTCTCTGCAAGGTGTGGGGGTCCAGGGTCTGCAGTGAGGTCGTGAGATAAATCTACACTCACTTGATAAGAGGGATAAGATTCGCTTTATTACGAGCAATATTATATGCTATCTCTATCTAAACATATAGTTACGCTGCAGTACGAATGCGATCCAATGACTGAAGCCCAATCTCATCAGATGATATTGGAAGCTAAGCAGGTTGCTGCGGGGTTAATGTTGTAGGCTGCAGAGGGCAGTGGGACGTAACATTAGCGTAAGATTAAAAGAACACCAAATAAATATTAAATACTCTCAAACACAACTGTCGGCAGTTGCAGAACATGCTTGCCAACAAGGACACCCACTTGATTTTGATAACATTGAAGTGTTGTGTAAAACTAACTATTACTGGCCAAGACTAATTCGAGAATCCATTGAAATTGAGAAAAATACAAATAATTTTAACCGCTCTGACAACTACAGGCTTAGTGCGGCCTGGAAGCGTATTATTACGTAATACATATTACAATTATGATTCCTTATTGAGGAAACACATATTACTTAACTAATTACTAATCTTTTTGATTTAAAGCTTTCGTGACTGCAGGGATTCATATTCTTATTTTATGTAATTTTATTGTTTCCCTTCTACGTGACTTTACCGAAAGAACCAAGAATATAATTACTAATCTATTATATAAAAACAATACCCTCCCCCCTCTTCCGCCTCTGATCTCTGCACCTGATGAGTTCAGGTGATGACGTCGCCCTGCTGCTGTTTAAGACCGGAAGCAGGTGGATTGTTTCACTATTCTGGCAAATCGCCCGATGATGCTGGATGTAATTAACAGCGAAACGTCGTACTACTCAAATTGTAAATGTTGTGGATTTACTCTCCAACACACCGGTGGGCTGAAGTAGTAACTAATTGGCGTTTTGTTTACGTGACAAATCCCTAACTAATTGGCTGTGTCGGGTGGTGGAGGGTTTTGACACATTCATACTTGTGCGATCTAACCCAAAAACCTTTATTATGAATAATATTGGTCGCGAAAGCCTCCTACGTATTAAACAAAACAAATTGTTGCACTGTACGATGATACCACATGTATGCTTCCCTGCCCATCACTGACCCAAACTGTTCCATCATATTCTTAGTTTTTTCGGTAAAGTCACGTTGAAGAGAAACAACAAAATAACAAAATATATATAAAACAATAAAAAATTCTCACGACGTTTCGACCATAACTCAAACGGTCATCTTCAGGTGTGTCGGTTTGCATAAGTATGGTCAAACAAATCGTCACAACCCGCATAGGCATGGTCCTCATCCAGCAGTGTAAATGCAAAAGCTTTGTACGTGTATAAAAGACTATGTACACTATCTCTAGTATTATTATTCTGAAAAATGTGCAAATTCTCAAGAGAACTCTGCCACACGGAAATAATAAAGGTCTGAGCATTAATTTTAGACATTTTTTTCCAAGGGAAAATTTTTAGTTTGTAAATTCATAACTGTTCATACACCAACTGTCTCATAGTGTCCCAGAGTTTTCAAGGCGGCAAATTGTAAAGGGCAATCTCCAACTATGAGCCAGTGACTCCTACTTAAGAAGGCTCATTGTCCAAAACATATCCCGAGTCTTTTTTTGTCTAAGCCCATTATAGACCGTTGTGGACCATGCCTGCACAGCATTGTTCCGGAAGGGAAATAGTTTTTATGACGTTACAAATGCATACATTTTTTCCTTTTTATGTGAAGAGATGGTCAGAAGTCTGTATCATTTATTTTATTGACCATGACAATTGTCACCAATATCACAACAAATGCACGATGAGTATTGAAACAATATTTGCTCGTCGTGTCGACAAGGGCTCTGGGTCATGTCGATGGGAGTCGTGTTACCGATAAGATCCGGCAACCGACCAGCGTTTGATCCTAAAGGCCAAAACAATCCACTGGTAGGTGAGAGCCTCCCAGGCCGTGTGGGTCACGGGATTTATTTGGACCGTATACAAATGCTGCTGTGTGTAATTACAGGCGACTCCCGCACCTACGACCTAATTGGTTCCTGTGCGACGTTCGCCAGTCGAGGCCGTCATACGTCGAAGCCTCCGTCTCCCATAGGCGCACTGTTATACATTGGGGTTCTGTTCCTGGAAACCCATTACATACCATAAAATACCAACATTTACCACGGTTAATGGAAAAACAAAAACGGGTGTCGCATGTCGAGCCGTCGCAAGTCGGGGGGTCACCTGTAGTCTGGAAGGCCAGTGGGCTGATGGATAATCACTCGGCCATTTCAATGCTAAATTCTATGCTAATTCCTTTGTCAAGGCGCTTTGTTTCTTCTGACACAGCTTAAAGGTCGTGATCTGAACGTGGCTTTTTTCACTCCAGCGCTGTCCTACCAGACAGTCTCGTCCCTTCACCTGATGAAGGCCGCTTGTGTTGTGGCCGAAACGTCGTGAGAATATTATTGTGTTATTTTATTTTATCAATTTATTATTTTATTCTCATTCTACGTGACTTTACCGAAAGAACCAAAGAAGATAAATCTGCAGAAATTAATATAAAGAGGTCTATTCTTAGCTCTTTCGGTAAAGTCACGTTAAAGGGAAGCAATAAAATATATATAAAACAATAAAAATTATCACGACATTTCGACCATAACACAAACGGTCATCATCAGGTGTGAAAAGCAACGGCAAGAAACATTTGAAAGAAGTGGTGGTTTCCATTTATTTATTTTTAAAGGGCGTTTTTATTTATTTATTTTAAAAAATGTTAGCACCACGGGCAGCGATTTGGCAGTTTATTTAGAAGGACGAGTCCATCTATGTTCTGAAAAATAGGAGGGGGGAGACGAAAAATGTATGTATGCTGTCTGAAAGCCACTGTAAGCGTGAACAATCAATTAAGACCTGAAATGGTTTATCAAATCCTTCCAATGATTGCTAAGCCAGAATCCATCTTCTCGGTTGAAATTGTCTCTGTGCTTTTATATTTGGATAGCCTCATGAACGAATCTCTCATGGTAGCCAGATGGCTTACAAAGAACCTCTGTCTTGGAGAAGTCAATGAGAGAAGTCAATGTCATGTGAGCCTACTGAATTATTATGATCTGCCACAGCCGATGTCTTGGTCCTACCATGGGGGGGGGGGGGGGGTTCTCAGGCACTACCCTGCAACGATTTCACTCCTACCCTTGCAAACCCTGTGCAATATGCCACTCTGGGCAGTTATAGATCGTCTCATAGTCTGGTTGTATATGACGACCCTCAAGGTACCACTTTATTCAGTGTGTACATAGCCCCGCTTGGAGCTCCGCTCCAACAGCGAGGACTGCGTTACCATTGCGAGGCAGACGACGCGCAGATCTAAGTTAAACTGCGATCGGACTCCGTGTCCTCATATTGTCGCTGTCATTCATAAAAATCTTGGATCCGAGATCATTTTGATTCGCTCAACCCAGCAGCAGTCCAAGATTGGCCCCTTAAATCTGGTGATGCGTGGTCAGAACGTCTGCCAAACACGCGAAGCGAGAAATCTTGCTGTCTTCTTGGATGAGTCTTTATCTTTCCATTCACACGTCAATAAACTTGTCAGGGCATCGCTCTTTCATTTTAAGGAATATTGCCCGGCTGCGCCACATTATTTTTTCCAGATGCTGAGAGACCAGTCCAGGCGTTCGTCTTCTCACGTCTGAACTACTGAAAGCAATGCCTGGTTTTCCGGAGCCCTGAACTGCAGTCCGTCCAAAATGCGGTCACCAGGGTGCTCACTCGCATTTTCGGGACCACACCTCATC